TCGTGAATTCTCTTTCTGTGCGTACTAAGTGATGGATGAGATGCAAACGTCTTTCCGCACAAAGAACAACCAAAAGGTAAAGCTGGCTAAATAACACTAACACTGCGGGTTACATTATACAAGATCACATATGCTACATACCGACTGAACTTTGATGTAGTTGTGACTATCAACTTCCTCTGCTCCCAAATTCTCAGGGTGCTTCCTCTCTATGTGGCGTCTGCGAGACTGCATGGAAGCGCAGACAAGAAAACAATATGGACATGATTTATCTAAACAGAATTGAAATAGCAGCATTGCCAACTGACGAATACACACCTTTGATGGGCCTCCCAGATGCGCTGCCTATACTAATTCCACTGGTAGAGTCTGAGCACGATGAGATCACGGATTGCGGAGGACTGCCTTGAGAAGAAGCCATAGACATAGCATCAAACTCCTGCCGCGCTTTTCGTCGCTTCTCAAGAATACTTTCGCGACTATCACAGTAGTATCGATGACGCTAAATTGTGGAAGACTTCAGCGGGGAAAAAAATGAAACACGAAAATACAAGCAAAAGAATAATCTCATATGTTCAAACCTTGAGCTCTTCTACAGTACCGTACTTTTTGCCACAATTGCAACCGTGCTCCTTCGTAATCTTCGCCCCTTCCAAGGATAAGCTGTGGACCCTACTCATGTGAACCCTCAGGCTAACCTCCTCTCTAAAAAAGAAGCAATGAGAAGAAAGTTACTTCCATTTTATTCTGTGTTTAGTTATGGTGCTGTTAAGATCCGCTAAATGAGATCCTAGACTTTCACACCCGACGAAAGCAGTCCTAGTATCAAAGTAACATGAATTTTGTACTTGTTTCGTCCCAACACACCATAGAATGAATTAGCAATTTAAAGAAATTTGACCTCAAGACATGAACGAGCAAGTTAAACCCACCTAAACTCGGTATTGCAGATTTTGCACAAGAAAGACCTATCTTCATGCGTACGCAGATGTCGGTCAAGCTTCTGCTTTTTTACAAACCTTCGATAACAGAGAGGACATTTCAGTTTGTACTCCTTAATTGATAATTTCTCATGCCAATACAAAGCTTTGAACCCGAACTGATACCTTCTTAAATGCCAAGTGCTTCTCCGTAACATGCTGCCGCATTGCTTCTTCATTCATAAACACTCGGCTGCATACGAAACAGCAGAAAAATTCACGCTCCTGAAAAAAAAGGCTAATTCATACACATGTTTTGAGTGCATAGATTACCAAACTTTTGAGGTGAAAGGAAACACAGCTGATAGGATGTGAGGTTGAAGATTAGTCAAAAGAAGCAAAAAAACCGACTCTGTTAGCCATAGCTAACTCCTTTCGAATCTGCTTGACACGTTCCATTTCTGCTCTTTTCTCCTTCGACTTTTTAGAGTGAGTGGCTTTCTTCTTCTGCAGCTCGTCTATGTAAACCCATTCCTTAGCACCTCTTTCGAGCTCCTAAAAACTCAACAACACATGCCTTTGCGACGGATAAAAATCTGCAAATTAAAGCACATTCAATGGGGCA